TTCAAGAGACGAATCAGATCGGCTGATCAGATATTTCCCCATAGTGGGCAGAGGTATTTTTCTGGAGATATATCCCGCCGCTAAGATGCGAGTGGCGGGGGAGCCGAAAAACACATGCATAATTGCATTTGTGCGTTTGTTTGCGCCGCGTAGAGTGGACATGACGACATTAGGAATGGGCGACCGCACAGGATCAGTGGGTCTGAGGGCGATCATGCAGGTGTCGTCGGTGGCGAGATACAGAGAATCAGACATGCGGTCAAGTACACTCTCCAACCTGACATTGCGTTGGCCAGGCCCGAAAAACAAGGAATTACGAGGATAAGGAATTGAATTCGACATTGTCGATGATGTGCCCGAGACCACGCGCGCTGATGCGAGGGATAGCATCTTATAAAGACAGCGATGTTAACATGTCGGGACGATGGGCGAACTGCACCAATCAGCACGTTCCGAAAGGGGACCTAGCTGACAATATATTATCCTGGGTCTTATCCTGCAATATACAGACGCCAGTCATGTGGCGTCTCGCAGAAGAGACGCAGCCGCAGTATGTGATATTTGCAACATGTATAGATAGTGAGATTGTGCGGTAATAATTCCGTGTTCAGTGCCGCGGCTAAGAAACCCAAGAATGGGTGCTTGACGAACGAACGGAAGCACGAGTGGTGAGATCCATTAGTGGATGAGCAGGCTGGCCGAGGCGAGCGACAGAAGACGTGATGTATGGCGCCCAGAGTACAAGTATGGGCCAAAATCAACAGCCTCAGCCTTGGGGAAACACGGCGAGCGACGGCTGTTTCTTTGATTTTTTGTTTGTTTGATGTCGGGATTTTGACCGTCCGTGAGCATGGGAGTCTCTCGAATAGGGCAACCGGACAGTGTGCGAGTGAGGTCGAGTTTGGACAGACCCTGCATCCGACCAAGACCAGAAAGAAGCAGCCAGAATAGGACCTGGAGACCCGATGCTGGTTGGTTCAATTACAAGTTCAACCGTGATAGTATTACGATATGGAGACGTGACCTATGACATAACAGATATCGTTCAAACTGCGCCAACTGCGCGTCTTGCTCCTTGAACCGAACCATCTCCTGCTTCTCCTTTACACCCACGTTTGACCCAGAACTCTAAAGCACAACATGTCTTCTCTCGAAATGATTCCTCTCGAGGTCATCCTTGATAACCTTCTGATGGACATGCCCATCCAGAGCGTCGTCCGGTTGGGCTGTACGAACAAGGCAGGGTACGGAAAGCCCCAGTTATCGCCTAATTAATTGTTGCTTCCCAGCTCTTCGCTAACATCTGTGCCGACGAGTTACTATGGCACCGCAGACTGCAGACCGACTTCAATTTCTCAGGCGCTGGCACCGCCCGCGTCAGCGGATGGAAAATTATTTATAGAGGTTTGTTTAACCCCAAAGGTAAGGAAAGGTTTACGACTTCCCGACGGATTAATAAAGTCTTCTTCCGTCGGCAGTCTTTGTCTGGGGGTAAGCTACGTTAGTCCATCTCCTTGGCGTTCCCTCAACCACAGCTTCAGGGAAAAAACAAATGGGAGACTTGGTCTGGGGAACAAATTCCCCAAATGCAATCTCGCAAACGGAGGAGTACCGTTTCCCACTCAACTGAGGATCCCAGGCGCCCGGATCGTGAGTATCGTTTCCGGGGGGATGTAAGATTTGCTTCTTTCACGACCACGGCACATCCAGCTCATGTCGTAATCCAGGTCATTCCATGCGCTTGATTCCGAGGGCAACATCTACGTCTGGGGTGAATGCAATCAGGCTCCTCGCAGCGGGTTTTAAAGTTGTATTATAGGAACTTTGAACGGACAGACCGGATCGCTGGGTAGCGATGGTTTCAGTGAGCCCGGGAAACCCGCACTGACGCCGCTGCGTTTGGAGCTGCCCACCAAGATCAAGCACGTCAGGCAAGTCGTTCTTCCGCCCTCATAAAGCAGCAAGTTGACCAACATCGATGCAGTTGCGGGAGATTCCATGCGTCCGCCTTGGATTTCAAGGGCCAAGTCTGGAACTTCACAAGCTGGGGCCGGCCATTCACGCTTTCGTCCCGACTTCTTCTTCGCGACTCGAGACCCATCCAGGTCGAGTGTGGGTGGGGTTTCTCCTCTCTTCTCACCAAGTCCGGCGAGGTCTTCGCGTGGTGGCCGCAATCTGGAAGTTTATTGGAACGGATCGACGCCAAAAATGCGTCCATGGATGAAGAGCGTCAATTTTTTGCAAAGCCCCTGCCCGACGGGGTTATTCCTTGCGCGACCTGGGACTTAGGAGCCGACCCAACTAGATTGCCGGGGCTCCCTTCATTACCGGAATTAACCGCGACCGGCGAATTGGATGAGGCCGTCGATGAAATCAAGATTATTAAAATAGCTGCTTTGGACGCGCGCCTCGTCGCTTTAACGAACCAGGGCCATGTAGTATTTTTTTCCGGTCTTGGCGATGAGAATACAGTTTCCACTGGCAGATGGCAATACGCAAGTACTTTGGCGCATTCCAGTATGTCTGCTGACTCGGAATACAACCCTTTAGCTTCCCAACTTCAGCGAGCTCGATCGAGTGCGCACCATACCGCCCTTCACGCCAACCGATGGGTCTCCGGGCATTGATCCTCCTCAAGCGATGAAGATCACTCATGTGAGTGAACCCATTGATTTGTTCTTACAGCGCGAATATCACGGGTGCAGATATCGGCGCACTTTAAGAAGTTCTTTGCATACTCTACCGGCTCGAGCTCCGTCGTGCTTATGGGCGATACGGACACAACGGAAGAAACAAATCCCCATATTGAGCCTGCTCTCCAAAATAAACATGTCGTATCGATGCTTGTGGGTGACTGGCACAATGCCGCATTGACATCTTCTGGGCAGCTGTTGACGTGGGGTGGCTATTCGGCCGGAGCATTGGGCCTCGGAGACCCCTCTACGCTCACTCCTGGCACGCCGGGGGCGTTCGCCACTGAGCGCCAGCGCCTAGATGCTTTCGAACGCGGTATCGGCAATCCACCGAACACGGATGTTCCAACAGAGGTCCGCTTTGACCATGCGCGAAAGACCCCGAAGGAACGGTTCTGTTTCTTGGCTTGCGCGGCGGGCTGGCAGACCGGTAAATGCCTTTTTAACGTCGTTTAACACCTCAATTAAATCGAGCGCAGGCGCGTTGGTTATCGATACGCAGGTTGGTTTAGAGTTTGATTATTATGGAGTCAAGCTAAATTTAGGACGTAGGCGGACGGTGAAGATGAGGGATCTGACGAGGAGGAGGAGCTAATGGAAGATACTCCACGACGCCACGTTCGCCCTGTCCGTGGTGGGCACGGACTCCCTATTCAGCACCCTCACCCGTTTGGCTTTCCCGTAGGCGGCCCATTCCGGATCGGTTTCGCTGGCAGAGGCGCCACCAGGGGGCGGGGACTGTAAACCATTCTGTTGTTTCTCTCGTTGTATTTGTATGCGGAAATCATGGACGTAAGTATATTGACATCGGCAGGCACATTCCAGGGCCTGGTTATTTCCTCCTTTAAGGATTTGTACACCGTTTCATGGCAATAGATTCTGCTTTGTGGATCTCGGTATTCCGTATACGTTTTCGTACCTTCTCGAGCTCACCCTTGGCTGGCACTCCAGCGACGAGCTCGGAGATCCAAGATTTCTGCATTTGGGCCTCTGTACATTGCATCGTGTACACCGCGTGTTCAATTGGACTGGAATCTCCTGTCTGCATGCTCAAAAGTGATAATCAAAAGCCACCGACACAGAGTGAAGTTGAAGACCTTTTACCACAAAAAATAGCCTTGGCTTTGGGTTGGGCTGAAAACTGCACATGTTGTGGCGGATGCGGGCGCGCGGTTTCACGGTTCCCATGCCGGAGACAAAATAGTTCGGCCTTGGCCTGTCCTGACCGGGCTGCGGACTCCGAAGAAAGTCGGAGATTTCACCTTTGACTGGAGAAACTCTGTTGGGACGTCGGGCTGAAGGGTGATCAAGGGAATTCACGTTCTTGTCGCTCTCCCTGGCTTACTAGGCGCAACTGGGAATTCCTTCGATTCTTCTGCTACGACGCAAAGTCGGGCCCGGTGAACCGACTTTTGTGAAGAGCACATAACCTGGTCTACAGCCAGACGCGGTTTCGAAAAACAGACCATTCCAAAACGACCATCACAGACCACAGACGGAGAAAGGGAAAGAATTACTGTCTCTGATACTCGGACGCGAGAAATTCAAAGGGAATGACCAAGGGCCTTCTAAGAGCACCACTCCCAGCGAATACCTTCATCAGAGCTGTTTTTCCCAGTGTCTCAAGTCGACGGAAAGCTCAGGCGTTACTATAGCCATCTCCTAGTATTTTGAAAACTTTCATAAGTCGCTCCGCACGCACCGCCAGTCGGACGGCCCACTGCGGGCAGGACATTTTAATTGTTCATACTGAGACACTGCTTAATATCGACCTGACTTGCAAATTCAAAGTTGCTTAAAGAGCTCTCAGTTAACAGTAATACCGCAGATTTCGATGCTCTGTACCTTGGGCTGAGGACTGGTTCGAGAAACGTGCATCTTCGAGTTTACCTAGAAAACGATATTCTTACACCGGCGGCTTCCCACTCGCAACCTCGTTCTGAAATAGAACAAGGAAATTCAAGAGTATGCAACGAGAGTTTGTAGAAAGCAGAGCAGGACTCGGAGCCGGTCGATTCCAACCAGCATAACTCTCCCATATCGGCGGGATGGTCTAGTAGTATGATTCCGTTACATATGAGTGGTTACAAATGTATTAAGAGCCTGCTTATGATACCAAGGCTACGAGGCGAAAATTGGACACGTACTATACCATGGCTAGTGTACAGAAGGTGGCGAGGCGCGGCAGTTGGGGATCGATAGCTGTGCGAATGCCATCAATACATCAGAAACTGCCATAAGATCGCACTGTGCTATCCTTAAAATAAAATTGCGGGTAAAATGGAGCTCTGGGACGCAAAAGAAAAAGGCCCGAACCGCGAATTGAACGCGGGACCTCCTCGAAGTCACATGACCACTCAGGCCACAGACCCTAACAAGGAATCATACGACTAGACCATCCGGGCGATGCGAAGTTGTATTCTTTAATGGACTTATACTATCACCGCATTCTTCCGGTCCACGAGATCTTCGAAAACTGTTCAGGTCGGTCAACTAATGAATGGTAATCCATATTTACAGTAGTGCTGTTCAAAGATACGACTAACCATCCGGGCGATGTCACAGTGAGGCTTCCCACATGACTCCACTGGGCACGCGTTTGCGTCGCCTGTCCGTACGGCCACTTAAGACACAAGACCCTGACTAGGGTTCGGTGAACAACTAGGATGTTATTAACATCAGTTATTCACATCATGTTAATAACAGTTAATAACAGTTATTAACACAGCCCACCAAAAGACTCTTAGAAATGGTGTGAACAACTGTGAATAACCCCCAAGCTTAGGGAAAGCCCCGGCGTTTGAATTGCGTGCGGCGCTGGCGATAGCAAGAGGTTTCGGAGAAGCCGAAAGGTCCGAAACCTGAGATGTCACATCAGTGATGCAATGCGTGTAATTTTTTCTCGCTCGACGCGTCGACTCGCGTAATTCAAGTATGCCCCACCCGCCAGCGGAAAAGATTTTCGACGAAGAATTCGACAAAGTTTTAGCTGAACTTGGCGTCTTGCTGCAAAACCTCCCGTCCGACTTGCCTCGTAAAGATGCTAGCGAGTCTGCATTCTCGACCTTTCTGGAACCATTTGTTCTGGATCAGAAGTACTCTGAATGCTGCTTTTCCGTCCCACTCCCGCCGGCATTGGATCTTTCATTCGTTGTTGATCCAGACATCAATATCGCAGCGCCTGCTTTGCTCGATCTCGTCGCTCCGGAATCCTCCATTGATACATCCACTATCCCCAAGCAGACCGCGTCGGCCACTCCCGCGGCAAGGGAGGATGTGCAGGATGTGGACTGTGACTGGTAAAGTGCATTGCGCCACCGTTTCGTAGTTATTCACCGGCCCAGAGTAATTCACAACGTGAATAATCATTATTTACATGTTAATAACAGTTAATAACAAAAATGTTACTAACATGCGTGAATAACTCTCGCCTAGTTGCTCACTGTTATTAACAAATGTTACGGCCTCTGGGAGTTATTCACCGAACCCTAACCCTGACAAGGAAATGGTCTGTGCTTTGACGAACTTGAAGTATGTAATACTGTACTTCAACCGATACATAACTCAACGAGACTACCTTTCTATTGAGCGAATGCACGATGAACACGGCCATGTGTCGGTATAGAAGTATGAACGCTATCTATACATGTCCGCTATTCTACGCGCTACTTGAACCTGGTCAAAATATTACGCAGAGGAACGGGCATGCGAGTTTTCTGTGTAGGTGTCTGCATCTCGGTCCCAGCAACAGATGCACGTCGCAGCACATTCTCGTTGAGCGTCCACCGTGCCCGAGATGGCGGTGGGGTGGCAGGCGGGTTCGGAGAGCTTGGTTTGTTTTCCTTGGCGGCAGTAGCAGTGGAAAACACACCCCTGAGAGAGTGACGCGCGCTCGAGGCAGTCTTCCTTGGTGGGCTTCTCGCGGTTGCGGAGGGGTTGGGCGGAGGTGCAGTAGACGAACCAAAGTGATGGGATGCCCTTGCAACGGCTGATCTAGGTTGATCGGGCCCTCGAGTGAATGTAGGCGTAGCTTTGGGGGCAGGGGACCGAGCCAGGGAGGCAGGAACTGTGGGGCGCATTGTGTGGGACCGCGGTCTGCAGGGCAGTGGCCGTTTACTGGGAGGACTCGACGGTAGCGACCGACGTGGGCGTGGCGTTTCGACAGCCGGGCTCTCGGGAGACTCTGGACGTTCATTGGGCAAAGAAGCAAAGCGAACGCTCTTGGAGCTCTTCAGAATGCTTCGTACACTTGTCCGTTGAGCGGGACAGGGTGGGAGAGGCGTCGATGGTGGGGCACTCAAAGTCGAAACAGGGCTTCGGTGCGAAGGTGCAGGACTATGGCCTCGACTCAGAGAGGAAGGACTATCGAGCGACTCTGCAGCATAGTCGACCATATCGGGGAGAAGAGGCTTTTTGACGAACTCTGAATCAAATGGCCGAGGACTGTACGTGTCCAAAAGGCCGTCCGCGAAAGCCCATTCATCGTCTCCTCCGTCTCCCGCCTTAGGCTTCCCTGGGTTCAGTGGAGCGCACTGCGATCTTAGGCTCGTCACCATTTGTTGAAGATCCATCGAGGGGCGATTAGGGTGAGATGCGAATTCAAATTTGGGGGAATAGGCTGAGGGAGAACCGAGGAATGCAGTGGGAATGCTGGGGTACTCGTTCTCGGCGGGAGATAGCTTGACTGACAGTGGCGGCAGCATTTTCTTGCCTCTGCGAGCCGCCAACGCCAGCGGGGCGTCCGGAGTCGTATTTCCAAACGATTCCAGCGAGACCGGCAGCGAGAAATGAGAATTTGAAACGATCAGGGAGGGCGGCGGCGGCACGACTGGGCGGTCCGAAGGTTTCGCCTCTTGCTCCTTGAAAAATGAGTTCAAGTTCTGGAGCTCGGAGATCATGTCCGCCACCCCTGGATCCATCGCCTTGGCCGAGGCCTGGAGGGACATGCGAGTGGACCGGCCGCCAGAGTTCAAGATGATTTCGCGTTCGAAAACCAATGCATTTCGATTAGAGGATCTACGGGAGGTGCTGGTGGATACGGCTGGAGTCGTCTCTTGTTCCGTTAGCGCGGGCGAGCGATTGCGTCGAGCAAGAGACATCTTGCTCTGAAATACATGCGGACTGTAGAGAGAACCTTCAGATTTCCAAGGTGCCGGTTCAGCGTTGTCAATGTCGCCCCACGGAGTATGCTCAGACGAATCAAAAGCGACGTTGTTCTGTTGAGTTGACATCAGCGACGCAAGAGCGATATCTAAGATGAATAATTTACGAGCCACGTCTCGACGAGCAACTTCTCTTTGAGCATTGTTCGAAGTCGGGGAGGAGTAGGTGAGGTCAGGGTCGCTTTGGGCAAAGCGAGCTTGGGTCTAGGATAATGGCGCGACATAGTGGGGCCGTCTTGATGTCCGATAATGGTGGCCAGCGGGACCATGCAGCCCGCGGGAATGGGTGGGGTAGAGGATGTGGACGTGGACAGAGAAGAGAGTGTGAGGGATTCGGACAGTAGCGAATCATCGTGCACGCAAAGACCGACGTCCAGGGATGGTAGGCCCAAGCCGGAGGAATACAGAGAAGCCATGATGGTGGAAGTAAAGGAATGGTGGTTGAAGGTGATCGACTTGGTCGAGCTATAAATAGCTTCGATTCTTCAAGTTTACGTCGCGCAAGTACAAGTTAATACAAACAAGGCCTCTTTCCTCTGCCACACCATGGATTTTGCTGCAACAGCCGCCCGCATAGAGGCAATTAACCAATTAATAATACAGGAATGGGAACGCATCAAGCACGACAAGTCACCGCGCTTCAATCTGAGGCCGTATCCTGGAAGACCCCAATGCCATCACTGTAAGAAACTCATGGACGATGTTAGTGTTCTGCTTTGATTTTTTGCGTGATGCTGAACCCACGCTAGTCCAAGGTTTGCTCGGCGTGCAAGGTGGTAGTCTATTGCTCGCCGCAGTGCATAAAACTGGGGTGGAAAACGCACAAAATCCACTGCCCCGCGCTCAAGGTCAGTCGAATGATACTTGACCGTCGACATTCAAGATCCTGAGTTGCACCAAACCGACAACGAGACGGAGAGCAGATGCCACAGTACAAAGAGATCACCAACCAGTTTCCCTGGACAGACATCGGATATATTGCTGCCGACCGTTTCAACGAGGATTTCGTTCTGGCGCGGTTCGGTGTCCTTGGCACGAGCCGTTCCAAAGTCGGATATTGGGCAGATCACTCGATAGGAGTGCCTTCAGACGAACTTCTTGACGCGCCGTGGTCCCCGCTGACCGAAGAGGAGGGATGGAGACTGCCGAAAGAGTTCGTTCCTACGCTGGCCCTACAGAACTCGAACGCCTGCCCCAGTTTCCCTCCGACGTTCGAACCCAACTGGACGAGTTACTACGAGTGGCGTGGGCTACCGATATCATCGCCTGCGGCTATGCTGTTACATTGGCCCTTGTCCGTATACGCATGCCTGAAGGAACTTGGTCTTTTGTCATCAAACAACGGCGACTGCAGAAGAAAGTTGACTGTGTTCTATGTGGGCGCCAGAGTAGATTGTCGTCTCTTGTTACCCGTTCTTTACTGATCAGACACTCGACTTTTAGCAGGAAGTTTCTTTCATACCAGTGTCCGTGATGCTTTATCCGTTCTGTCAAAAACGTGCTAATGGATCGCTCACTCAGCTTTGGCGAACTTGCGCTACTCTTCCCCAACACCGACTTGGATCTTGTCATGTTCGGAGAGACCACAGGGAGGGCAGTACAACGCGCGCAAGCTCGTGGAACCAATAAATCTCGCCGTCCGTGCGTTTTCGAATATACGGCTCCTGCAGCCTGTGGCGGCGGTACCGTCCGCGTCTTGATCGACTCCACTCCGACGTATTATCGTCCCTCTTGCGAAAGATCCGAGCACCCCGATGCAATTGTTGGTCTGAATGCAGGCCTAGGATCATACATATCTTGGCAGCATGTCATCTTGCGCTCCTTCGAGTTCGACATCCCGTTCGTGGTAACTGATTACTGCGAAGCCTGCTTTGACGACACTCTGCTGGGAATGGATACATTCCATCGAATGTTGACAGGCGCCGCCTTGCGCAAACCCAAGATCCCAGACGACATTCGTATACGCGTTCGTGTATCGTTGCATCCAGCCAGTTCCGTCTGATGTTTTCCCAGGTAATCGCGAAGCAGGTTTTGGGAGAGATCGAGGTTGTCGACGTTGACAAAGTGTCCGCGGCGCTGAAAAGGGAACGACGGAACAAGCTGAACGGGTTCATGCAGCCAGGCCTAAGGGGAACTTCGGACTACTCGCGCCTTGCTCCTGGATCGCGCAATGCGTTCATTCGAGTCCTGACGCCAGTGAAGAAAGCTGGGGAAGTCGAGGTGTAATTGGGTGATTGAGCTGT